GGTTAGAGCCCTGCAGCCCGGGGGCGGGTAAAGGGAGCTCGGGAGGGAGAAAGGCCCCGGGTCGTTCTTGCTTCGTGGAGGGTTTGTTGTGGGTTGTTGGGGTTTTTTTTTTCCTTCTTCTTCTTTGAAAAAGGGGGGGAGGGGTGGAAGAAAGAGAGTTAAAAGGGAAGTTAACAGGTAAGTAAATGAACCTCCTCCTAATCCAGCTCCCAAAGATCCCAGTCATACCGCAGCCGGGGTCAAGAAAAGTTCACCGCGATGGGCTACCATTGACTTTCTGGACTGGAAACATTTTCGAAAAATAATAGACTGCCGAAGAGCGAAGTACGCTGTCGGCAGGCGGGGGGACCGGGGTGAGGAGCTAAATGAACCCAGCGATCTGCAGAAGCTAAAATGTGCGTGATCTCACAGGGGCAGCCGAGATGGGACCTCGAAAGTCTTGCAGCTGCGGGAAGTCGGAGGCGAATCAAAGTGGGCTGAGAGGAATAAAAAGCGACTCAAGTTGTAAGAACCAACCGCAAAGGCAAAGGAAAGTGTGGTAAAGAGCGATTTTGGGGGTAGGAGTTTGAACTGTGGCATAATCCCGATTATAAAAAGGAAAAGGTACTATTTACACCCCCCATTTCGCCTTGCGAGCAAAACAAAAAGAAAAATTCCCGTGGATTTTACTACGGGGTCATGGTGATGTAATCCCGCAGCCACGTTTTAACGGGCAGATGGCTTTCTTCATTAAATATGACACATTTCCTAGAACGATAGTTCAAGATAAAATGCCAGTTCAAATATGCAAAATTTTTCATCCTGTTCCGCGATACCCTTAGCCCGTCCACGGGGAGTTTTCCCTGCAAATGTAGCCTATGTGTTTCCGAACACAATGGCATCATCCGAAAATACTTGAACTCAGCGCACAAATAAACAAACACTGAATAAAGTTACAAACAAGATTAAGGTTCAAGTTATTTGTCCCCGTAGCAAGGCGCCAATTGTTCTAACAGATGTAGGGACACTAAGAGGATTTAAACCACGCGAATTTAATAAACCAGGTTAGCAATAGGTGCTTTCTACAAATGCTAGGAACCGTAAAGTAAATCTAGCCTAAATTACCCGTCAGACCGGAGCATCGCTTACAAGGAGTGCAGAAAATTTCCGAAGGGGTCCAATAGGATTTCGTGCAAGCATGGCTTGTTTCCCCCAAAAACTTTCTATTTGCATTAAATCTTATGCTAGGCGCACAGGCGCGTACAAAACACTGGTTTAAGATCCCCGGTGGGATATATTCTTGAAATCTGAAATATTACCTGTTGTGCCATCCGCTTTTGCAAGGCTGGGGAAAAAGAGAGCGAGAGAGGGAGCGAGCGAGCGAGAGAGGCATGTCTCAAAGCCAGCAAAGGACTAAGATGCCACACTTCGGAAAGGCTGATTGAAAACAGACTCTTCTTAAGTTTTAAAGGATTTTCTCTCTCACTCCCTCCAAGGGCTAAGAAGCCGATTTGGGAGTTTGAAGGGAATAGGTTTCAGCGTCCATATTTGTTCTGGTGCACTTGTAAAATGCGATTTGAAGAGGATCTTTAGCCCTCTGATTGTCTTTGTATTGTTTTTCTTGAAACGGATCTTTTGCCCTTAATGAATCCCCACACAGCTGGACAGCTCCTGCTCGGACACTGAGAGCGCTAACCCCAAACTGACCCCAATTTGACACCACAAGATGAAATTTTACCGCCTGTTAAAACCATTTCCAGCCTCGGCAAAAGGAGCTGGCTGTTGACTGAGATGCACTTCCATACCGGACACCTCATTTCTCTTTGGACTTTTGAGCCGATCTAAAAAAAAAAAAAAAAAAAAAAAGGGGAAAAAAAAAAAGCCAAAGAAAAAAAGCCCAAACACACACACCCACCCCACCGACTCATCTCTCACACTTTTCCTGGAAACAGCCTTCGCTGTGAAAGTGATGCACGAGAAATGGAAATTAGCCAATTTAATTTTCCCAAATTACTGTGTTTTAAAAGAACTATGT